TTATATTAATACTATTTTGTACGTTAAAACGTTACGACTTTTAAAATAATTGTATTCTATAAAAAGAATATTAAACAATTGCGTTATTGTGTTGACGTTTTTTATGAAACATTTGATTGTCTAGATAAAGATAAATAATCAATGCATTTTTTTTTTTTTTTTAGATATGAAAAAAAGATAATTTCTGTAGCTACCATAAAACTAAGTGGAAAAAATAACCAAGATTATTTATAAATCAACAATAATAATTTGATTTTCGTAACACAAATTACCTAAAACTCGGTTTTTGAGGGATGGTAGTAGTAGGGATACCAAAATATTAAAAGTTCCTCCGTGTATATTGCTGATCGACTGCCGTGAATTTAATGAATATCAGTCATTATATCAGTCGAGCAGTTCCAGGAATTGCCTCCTATAAACTTACAATCTTATCTCTGTGTAATAAAAAATATTAAAGAAAAAGAAAATTATGATTTGAAAAGATTTATCTGTAGGCGATTCGGATATTGGTCTAAGATAAATTATTATTTCTCATTTTTCTAAAACAGAATAGGTGAATTAAAATATACCTATGTAGATAAAGAAACACTAATGCATGTACATACGATAAAATAATATTTTTTTTTTATTGCGTTTTTTAGTTTTTGATTGGCTTTAAAATTATTTCCAAACGTTAATACCGCCTACTTAAGTACCTAAAATTTAATTTTGAAGTTAATATCGGTCTGTTATCGGTTAAGTCGGTCTGTGGTCGTATACGCGACTTCGACTTCGACTACAACAGTTTCTTTCATGGGAAAAAAAATATATAATCGCAAGTTTTCTATTTGAATATAGATTTATGTCCCCCCCCCCACTCGTTTTACCGTTCAAATTATAAGACAATCGAATTAATAATAATAATAATTTATCAATTAATTCTCAACAAGTTTTTCTTTACAAAGTGTATTATAATAAACAAATGACTATTGGATCACCTCCAGTGTCAAAGGCTGGGGTAAGAGTTCATACAATAAAAATATGAAATAAACACAACAAGGAAAAAGAAAATAAATATAATTATTTTAAAATGTTTAAAATCATGCATACATTATCAATAGTAGTTAATTAATATTAATTACAATAAATTACCAAATAGACATTAATAATATATACATAAATGTTATTTAAATCCAAATTTTTCTTTTAACTTATTTAAAATCAATATAATCATGAATACATATTTTATGTTTTTTAATACATAACTGAGTGAATAAAAATATGATCCAGATTGACAAAAAGCAATTTTAAATTTATGTAATGTAATATTAAAATCTTTAACAAATCGTGTGAATTGTATGACATATTATTATTTCAGTCACGCGTCACATTCAGCGGGATGCACGAGTATAATACTTTACTCATATATTGGAACATTCCGCATTCTGTCGGCTGTTCAAACGAAACGTCAATTTGTTGTCAACAAACTCTCAGTAATGTTTTCAATCTTCTTTGAAATATAATAAAAATACCGCACAGTTTACTAAAAAGTGAATTTATCGTACAATGAAGGACCGTGTGTACCTACATATAGTAATAAATATATTGTACAAAACAAACAAAAAAGTAAAATAATTTCTGTGATTTTCATCTATATATGTCTGTTTGTATTAGTTGCAAATTCAATAATAGTAATTCAACAAAAAAGCTTACACGCTGGTAGGTGAGCCACTGTTTTACGAGGGAAGTTGGATGGGAGGTAATTCGGAGCAATTTAATTTATATCCAACCCAACTAATATCACAACGATTACGTTTTCCGTTAACATTGGGCTAATAAAAAATGATTATGATCAGAGTTACAATGTTATTTGTTGTATGCTTTCGTTCGTTACTAATTAACCTAAATATCAACAAAAATTATACAAACAATTATCGGATTTTCCCATTTATTAAAAAAACAAGGAAAATCCAAAATGACTTTCTTAAATGCACTAACTGGATCAAAAATTCTACACAAAAGTTTCTATAAAGTTTTTGATTAGAGTTAGATTTCTGATTGGAAAAATGTTTGTCCCAAAAAATATATATCATAGTAAAACTAATACATTTCTCGTTTCACTTATAGAATCTAAAAAAAAAAAGACTGACATACTTCGCACGCGGGTGCAGCCACTATTGTAGGTGGGAAATCCGGAAGATAGTATATAGATGGGAATTTAATGTATATCTGTACGCAATGATAAATCATTGCTAACGAACAAACGATTCTGAGCAGAGTTTAGTTGATAGTGATGTTTTAGTAAAGAATAAAGAAATATAATATAAAGATTTTTTTAATATAAAGAATGTATTGAAATCGAAATTTTATATTGACTCGGTCTATAGTATTTCATTTTCAACAATTTGCGTTTCTATGACAACAGTGGTTATTTAAAACAAAATTTAAATTAATAAAACTCAATAAAAACAAAAAAAAAATAAAAACGAACTTCAATGACAATCTTATTTTTAATGTTCTTCTTGCAATCTTTTTTAACCTAAAGAACAGGGTTTTTCTTATCATTTCAAATAATGATGAGAGTTTCAAAAAATGACCTCTCTCAATTACCATCCAGAGAACATATTTTTCTTTAAGAAAATCTGCTATACTTGATAATCAGAGTAAGCTTTCTGGTAGAAAACTTGTTCGCAAAAAAAAAATTAACATCGCTGTAAAACCAATACATTCCTCGCTCCACTCAAAATCCAAAATTAAACATCTTTTTTTTCACGTTTCAATCTTTTTTTTATATATATACGGTTAACTGTATATATTTGAAAAGATTAACTATATTGTATAAAATGATAACCAAAAATAAATTATTTTATCTACACCTGAATATTTTTTATTATAATATAGTTATTTATAATGTTCGAATGGAGATTTTTAAATAAAACATAATATCTCGAATAACACAATATTTACTATCCGTTTTCCAAAAATAAGCTGTGATCTATTTTTAAAATTATTATAATTTAGAGCCTTTCCTCTAATTATTAAAAATATCAAACGATTATTTTTGATTGGTTTTCAAACTATAGAGATAAAAACGAAAGTAAACAGAATCCGAATAAAAAAAAAACAAAACGAAACATTATGTAAAAAAATAACAGCAACGATACTTGGCAATATTCACAAAATAACGATTTACAGTTTTATTGCATTGTTATTTTACTTTTGGTGCGCAATTTTTTAATTTGCACACTCTGTTTTAGACATTACATTTAATATTCGTTTTACGGTAAAAAAAAGACCTGTTTATTTTGTACTTATTGTATTTTCTCTTCGCCAAACACGTCTAAACACAATTTAATCAATATTTCTAAATTCGATATAAATTATAGATACGATTTGAAATTTCGTATAAATACCTACGCACTGTTCGAAATAAGCTGACCCCGTCGTCGTAGTCGCTAAACGACGAAAACCACTGTACAGAGTGTACCTAAAATGCTTATGCAATTGTCAAATCCCGCAGATACACAATGTAAACATATATATATTTATGTTATATAGATTATCCGGGCGTATCAAAAGCTAACGCGATCCCGTTAAAACTTTGCGAGACACCCGACGCATATTACTACAATTATTATTAATATGATACTGATTAATAGTCGTTGTAAACGCGTTGTGAATTACGTTTTGATCTCTTTATCGCCCATTATCACGTCGCTACGATTAATTCCGTCTTATTATATTTGCGATGCGCATTATAGAGGTAATGCAGTGTGCAGTAATCTGTGATTGTTTTTACACGTTTCCGTAGCTAAATACAAAATAACTAGAATTACGTTATGTCTCAATTATGTGTTCTGTTTTGATCATATATTGTGAGCATCACGGAATACAAAAACCAAAGTCACGACGTCGACTGCAGATTGTTTTATCATTAAATAGATCAGGATAATAAAACTGAAGTCAAACCATTAATATTATATTATTGGTATATAGTTTTTAATTTTTCTTTCGTAATTCTTGATAGTATCCGCTAGGCACCGACAAAATCACATACAAGTTATATCGCCCCTGTTCCTCGGTTAAACAATATATCTGACACTTTGGCGTTTCGTTTCAGTGACATTGTTAATGATTTTGGTTTCAAGCTCACTGAAATTTTTAATCCATAATTCATTTATCCAATCCGTATGTTACAAAACATTAAATGTGTTGGATTTTGTAAAGGGACTATTCAATGAGTTACGGCACCAAGTTCCGATTATAAAGCACTGTGCTCCAGGGTTTTAACAATCCTTGCTAATAGTTAAGTCTCTTTGGATCCATATACAATAGACAATGGATCCTTGTTAGAACGTGTGCAACTCGAGTATTTTAATATTGTTTGTTTTTCACTTAAATTCCTCACTGATGGCATAAGTATATTATAATCCTGTACGTGTGAGGCTCATATTAACTTTTTTGGCAAATCGTAAACATGCTTTAAATACATTTTTTAAACGATTTATTGTCTGGAAAAATAGGTTCTCAAATGTGGTTTTCACCGATTAATTTCAAAGTTCCTCAGTTTCAAAATTTCTTATTAACACCGCCGATTATATGAAAAACTAGCCTATTCGACTGTTGTTAAATATTTTTTTATTTAGTCTGACTGAGTGTTAACAATAATCATCTAAAAATTTAGTATTTTTTGTTTAAAGTAATTGTAAGTACGTCCAAATGGCCACGCCCGTATAAATTAATAAATAATAACGACCGTGCGCTCTGGTCGTTTTGGCCATCACAATTTTGAATCGTGTCTCAAACACCTTACCATGACCATTGCGTATTATTACTATTATCATCGTCTTAGTCCATATTTTTGTCAATAATACATACCGCAGCTCGGAAAAACTCTTGTAATATTATATTTAGGCGTGCCCGTCACTGATAATCATTTTTAACGATTTTTGATATTGTTCCAGGTGCACTCTATGTGGCGGCACGTAGTACTGAATAAAAGATGACCAAATGCGCGGACAATGCCCGGTGGCCGGCCAGTGCAGCTGATCGTAACGGCGACGATGTTGGTGATATTCTGTTGTGGAACGTCGTCGTACGCGGATTGGGCCGATTGCCCGAAGGCGTGCCAATGCAAGTGGAGTTCGGGCAAGAAGACGGCGCTGTGCAAAGACGCCGGGTTCACCGAAATACCGATTTCGCTGGACGCCGAAATGCAGGTGCTCGACCTAAGCGCCAACAGCATACGTGGCCTGCCGGAAGACGCGTTCAAAACGGTCGGGCTGCTGAACCTGCAACGGGTGTTCCTTCGGGGTTGCGGCATACACAACGTACACAAGGACGCGTTTAGAGAACTGAAAATACTCGTGGAACTCGATCTCAGCGACAACCTGATCGGCTCGCTGCACCAAGAGACGTTCCACGGCAACGAACGTCTCCGCGTCCTGTACCTGAACGGTAACCCGTTGAGCGAGATTAAAGAGATCCAATTCCCCGTGCTACAGCATCTCCGGACGCTCGAGTTGCAACACTGTCAAATCAAACGCGTACACCGGGACGCTTTTTTGCATCTGTCGTCGTTGGAGTCGTTGAATTTGAACGGGAACCTGTTGAAACGGCTGTCGAAAACCGTGTTCTTGCCCGTGTCGAAACTGAAAACGCTGTCACTGGACGGAAATCCATGGGTCTGCGACTGTCAGCTGAGAAAATTCCGGGACTGGTTCGTGAAGTCGAATCTCTATTCCCATCCGCTGTCGTGCATCGAGCCGGAAGTGTTGTCCGGGAATCATTGGGAGAACATCGATCCTATCGAGTTCGCTTGTCCGCCGGTGGTCAAGATTGACAGGAGTAGCGTTATGGAGGATGTTGGTAACAACGTTACATTTACGTGCAAAGTGACCGGAGATCCGGAGCCCGAGGTCAGCTGGTACTTTAACGGGCACAACATCGAAAACTATACGGATCAGATGGACGAAAATCGCACATGGCTGGAAAACGACCAGAACATGTGGAGCGTGCTGAACATATTCAACGTGTCGGACGTGGTCGTGGGGGAATTTACGTGCGAGGCTCGTAATTCCCGAGGACAGATGTCGGCCAACGTGTCTTTGGCTTTGCCCGAAGTAGCGGTAGCCACAACGCTGAGCAAATCCAAATCCATGTACCTGGTTGTGGTGGTCGCGGCGGCCAGCGTCACGGGGTTGCTGTTCGTGATCGGCTTGACGTGTTGCATATGCCACGCGAACAAGAAGTCCGGAGGCGGACGTCGGGACAGCAAATCGAATTTCAAAGGGAGCACCAGTTTCAGTGATGCGGACAAAAGGTTGCTGGACGCGAGCATATCGACCACGCAAGCCGGTAGCTGCGAAATGCTCGGAGGCGGCGGCGGCGGTTCGTCCTGCCAGGACCTCGAGCTCATCGAACAGTCGCTGCAGAACATCCCGTTGGCTTCGGTGTGCGACCAGCAGCCCGTGCACATAACCATCGAGAGTCACGACCCGAACTCCGGCGTGTCGCTGTACCCGCCGCCGCCGGAGTTCTCCACCAGTATCCTTCCGACGGTCAGCGGTTTCGGGAACATATTCATTTCGGTGTCGGTTAGCCAAGAACCGCCGGACCAGGAGTCCAGGTACCCGGACTTGCTGGACATGCAACACCGCGGGCAAAAACAGAGCGTCAGCGTCGGCACCAGTTCGAACCAACAACAACATCAACAACAACAGCAACAACAACAACAACAACAACAACAACAACAACAACAGCAACAGCAACAGCAACAACACCATCAACACCATCATCACCATCATCCGCATCAAACCGCTGCGGTGGCGGCTGCGGCGTCGTATTATGCCACTATGCCGCGGAAAAAACACTTGAAAGACCACCAGCCGATGAAATCGGTGTTGCCGCACTACGATAACATGGGTCCGCGGATCACGGCCACGGGGAGCTGTACGAACCTGTCGTCGATCTCCAACAGCGGCGAATCTTCCGACGACATACCGCCGCCTCCGCCGCCGCCGCTGTGCACCGGACACACGGATTACGTCGCCCTTTAATAGTCGTGTTTCAAAGGCCGTCCGAATATCCGCTGTACAATATTGTTATGTATTAAACTTTTGTAAAAACAATGTTTGAAAAAATACGGATTTTAAGGGACGCGACGACAATACCGTAGCATAGCTATGTATCGAAATAACAATAACTTAATACATATTGTTAATATTATTTTAATACACGATCGGTTAGTGCACAAATACAAAAAATACAATAAAATAAATAATACGTTATAATTCGGAAGACATCAGTGGAATAGTAGCGTAATATAATTCGAAATTACATTTAAGAGAATCCATAAGGTGTACCCCGTTTTGTCACTGCGTTTCGGCGTTCGAACGAAAAACAATTCGACGGCGTAAGTCCTATAATTTATATTATTATCCGTCATCAATCACGGGGCATTTAAACCGGAGGGGGGTGGATAGAGGGGGCAAAGTAGATGAAGATGAGCAGTAGCGTATTGTAAAAAGGTATTACGGGAGGGGAGGAAGTGGGGGGGATGGGAGTGTGGAGAAAATAACCCGCGAATACAAAGCGCATAATAATAATGTGACAACGGATAAGAGGATGGAAAAAAAAGTAATTATTGTATAAATGAACAACGTTTTGTTTTGTTTTTGTGTTTGTTCGTTCGCAATTTTTTTTTTTTTTTTTACAAAGTCAGTAGGTTAAACTCGACAATCTATAGTTTTATAATACTTTATAATATAAAATAATATAAAGATAAGTATTCTAAATGGAAATTGAAAAAAAACCCGTATTTTGTTTAAAAAAATGTATCATAATGATATTATTATACTTTTTTGTCGCCTTCAATTCGAAAAAAAAAAAACAAAAAATACCAATTTTTTTTTCAAAATTATAATTACTCCAACAATATATTATACTGTATATAGGTACATTAATGTATCGTATATATTTTATATTACCTTTTAATCTCTTGTCTGTATAATTTTTTTAACGTATAGTTATTGATTAAAATATAAGATGCTGGTTTTATAATTATATTTATTTACAAAAAAAAAATCAAAATACGATTAAAAAGCTATCGATTTAATGTTATATGAAAATATTGAGGAAAAATAAAGGTTATCGTATCAACCGTACTCGTAAACTATCGAGAGGGGAATGACCACGTATTATGGCCATGTTAAGAGTATTTTTCTATTCATACACGATTTATCCTATATCTGAAATTTCCAGAAACTAAAACAATAAATGCTTTTACCAACAGTCAGTTTGAATTGGATGTTTTAAGAACAACAAGGAATAAAAAAACTAGTGTTCAGACCGTTCTAAAATGATTGTACTTTCCCGCCTTATACACTATCTACGTTTTTGAGATACTTTACATCACTAAGTAAATTAATAATATCATTTGATGAATACAACAATAACTTACTATGCATGAATAATAAAATGCTCGAATAAAACAGAAACGATTGGCCATATCAAGGATACAGATCTATATGTCCGAGTGGCCATGGCAAGGATACAGGGTGTTTATGTTCGAGTGGCCACTCTAATAATAATTTATTGTAACCAGTGTTGGGAAAGATAACCGATATTTTAATATCTATAGATACAAAGATAACGACTTAATATTTACCTTAGATCAAAATAAACGATACGGCTTGCAATTATTATCCAGGATAACATGAAATTATAATAAATTAAGATAATTGATAAAAAAAAAAAAAAAAAAATTATATATTTTTAATATTTAGGTGATTCGTCGTGTACAAAACGAAATATTCAAAATAATTTTGGCATATATATTATAATATAATTGTAATAGTAGTGATTTACTGTAGAGTTATTTCGAAATCAATTTGCATAATATACTATACAAAACCTAATATTATTATTATGACGTGCATTTCCGGGATATTGACTAGGTTACAGCATGGTTAGAAGAAAAAAATAATACAAATTTCCGACTATATTTATGAAAATAAATCGGGTTTTAAAAGATATTTGATCTAGATTATATTTTTTTAAATGGTTTCATCTACAGACAATCCCGACACTGATTATAATTTTAAATGACTCCGCGTCTATGATACCGAATAAGAGCGAAAATCTATGGCTTTTATTATGCGCGCGACACCAACGATAAATGTAAAAACGGCCATTCGAATTTTTATAAATATTTAAGTCGACGGAGGCATTTGTGTTTTTTCCAATATTATTATATTCTATAGGTAGAGGCGTGTTTATAATAATTTGACGTTTTTTTAATAATAATTATGTTATACATATACACATATTTTATATTGTAATTAAATATTTATGGTTGGATGTGTTTTTTAAAACAAATTTGCATTGGTTTTTTTTTTTTTTTTTACCACAATATTAGACAATAACTGTACTGTATGGATAACATAATATTATATTACGGTTTGTCGTGTTTGATTAGAGGCACGTACGAATATATTACAATTTATTAAATAAATATATTTTTCTTTTCTGAGCGACGTCACGAGAGATGAACAAAGATCGTCCCTATACAGAGCATATCGATCGTTATATTTGAATTCCATCCTTCCAACGACAAAAAAAAAAAAAAAATCTGCCACTAATACCTATACACCCCCCACTATTTGTGTTTGTTTCGTTTCGAACAATATTGTATTTTTTACACACATATCATTTGTTTTATTTAAATGGTCCATTTCGGTTAAATTATTCTAATTATAATATATAATAATGAAACTATGTAGATATATTATTATGATGCTTTTTTTTTTTTTTTGTTTGATCGTCAATTAAAACGTTTATATACCTACGTATAATTAGTTCAGGGGAATTTTTCGTGTATTCCAAATAATAATAATTTTAAACAAGTATAATTGTATTATTGTACCTAACCTATAGTAAACCTAAAAAAAAAAAAACTTTTCAAATGTGCAGTACGTCTCCTACGGCATATCATACAAATATTAACGTAAGAATTAAATGTGCATAACGTGTTACTTAAAAAAAAAAAAAATAATTCTAGCCGAACATTACCGTATAATAATTATGACCAAAAATAAATTTAAAATTACCCCGGACCTTAAGTCTGTACTCTTGTAGTTGTATAACATTATTTTTACAGCCACCGAGAATCCGAATAATAAAAATATTTATAAATATTTCAATGAAATAATAGTTACTGAAATTAAATGTAAAAAAATAACATTTTACAGATTTTCAAAAATGTCGTATACCGAAGTATACGTACCCCGAAGGGTACGTGCGATTACGCGTGCGCTGCATCATCGAGAGTGATTAAATATTTGCTTGAGTAAAATAATAATAAGACTACGTATTTTTACCGACTTAAAAGAATAATAAAAAAAAAAAAAACGCATTAATGCATAACAATATTATATTAATGTAAATATTTAATGAACTAAGAACAAAAAATAACGCGTCTAAATAAATAACAATTAAAATTTAATACTAATAATAATTAATCACTGGTATTTGCAATTTTAATGGATTGATTTCACGAAAAAAAAAAAAATAAAATAAAATAAAGGAAAAAAAAACAGTTTGCATTTATTGTGTAATTATTATATCAGCGTATCTTCCAACGGAATATTATAATAATATAAATGATATAAAAATATTATTATTATTTTTTATTATTATTTTTTTTTTTTACGTATAACGATGATATTATTATTAAAGATGATGTCTTTGTTTGGTTAGGTTAGCTATATATTGCGAATTAAGATAGTGCGTATAAACCCAACGAGTTATTATTGAACAACATCGAATAGGTCCGCACATTTTTTAAAAAAAAATGCATAAATCGGATCCACTGTTGTGCAACGTTTTAACTACCTAGATAAGATAAAAAATAACGCGTTCATAATTTATCTGTATAAGATAATAGATAGAATAATATAAAATTCAGATAAAATACAAGTAATCACATTTTTATCTAGATAAAAAAAAAAATATTAAATGTTTAATTTTTAGGTTTTTTAAGACTTTCAAAAAATGTAAAACCTTTTAAATAGTAAAATTGCTCAACTGATACGTGCGTGTAAAACCACACGGTAAATGCATTCCGAGTGTTTAAATTTTAATCTTCCTTTCTATGCCGTAGAATATGATTTAAAATTATATATTTACAATTCATAATTGCAACAATATTTGTATACCGTGGCGAATCCAAGAAAAGACAATCCATTAGAAACGCTAGTGAGAATATGTCTAGAGCACGGTCGTAAAAAATAATGTTGGGACACTGGGAAAAATTAACAATTGCTATTTATTTACAAATTTAAAACGTTTTAAATCGTAAAGTTTAAAAAAAAAAAAATCCGTAAACTGTGGCCTCAACCAAGCTCAGTTTGAGGCACTCCTTGAAAAAATGTTAAAAAAGTGAACTAAAACTGTCTCTCTATGTGATTGCAAAATCAACACAGAAATGATGCCCGGTGTCCGGACATTATATCTTCCAAGACCATGAAAACCTGGAACGACGACGATGAGAGCAACGTCCGTTTGGCGATCACTTTTTCGTATAGCTCGTTGGGCATCCATTTACTATCTCAATCCGTTCTATATACCCGGTGACGACGAGATCAATAATACCTACGCATTATACCAAGGTATATGTACAATATTTTTGAGAAAATTCTCTCTGTTATTTTGTAAACACTTGATAATGCCGTAGCCTATACATGATCGGTGTGCGTGTCTGGACTTTGGGTTGAGAAGGCCAAGACTTATTTTTTGTGATAATTTACACGTAGAGCTTAACATAGTATTGCGCAATTTGATGTTTATTTTCTTGCAATAGAGAGACGGTACCTCGATCACAAAAATTACGGGACATAACGAAGAACAGTCGAAGAAAATAATATTTATGCTATTTCAAAAATGGTCAATCCGTGGCTTAAAGTCTGCGGAAGTCTTATCATAATTCTTTGAAGAAACTGAATTTGGTCCAGTGGCGCGCGTAGAGGTGGAGTTGGTGGAAGTCAGAACCCCTCCCCCTCCGAAACGTCTTCTTCATTAAATTCGATTGAATCCAGTTTTACATTTAGCAGCATAGTATCTCACATAATAAAATAATGAAATTGAATTTCATCAAAAATCATATATTCGGTAACAATAGCGATAGTGATTTACTGATAAGAAGTTCTATCCCCTATCAAACAAATTATTATAAGCACAACCTCTTCTCGAAAATAATGTCCGCATGCGCTACTGGTTCGGCCGTTTTTGACCTAATGTCCAGAATTATGTATATTATTAATAATATATTAGACGGAACTACAGGATATAAAACTGTCTTTTGAAATTGATAATATTGACTAATATTATTGATATTTTAATAATAATCAATGTAAAAATTAAATACTACAATATAATATTATGGTTATAATAATAATATAAGGTATTTCGTTATTATTTATTATTGTATTCTAATCCGTGTATAAAAAAATGTCCACGCGTTAAATTTTGCAGTTTGACGCTTGTATTAAACGTGACACGGTGTACCATAATATTATTTTTATTATTGTTTCTCTTTTGTGATCACGTCACGTAAAAAAAAAAAAAAAAAACAAAAATAATGTATTATTATATTCATAGGGGTAAACATAATTACAAAAAACCAAAAAAAAATATATGAAATTTTTATTTTCGTCCGCTTTGATACAATAATAATAATTATGTTTACCCGTAATTATTAATAATATTGTTTATCAAAATATACATGGACGGCGAATATTATATAGTAGATGGTGGCCTGTGGAACGCGGGGAGGGTTAAGGTGGAAGAAATTTCAGTGTGCACAGTGGTCGCCGCGTGTATCTAAATGGGGATTTCAATCGTAATTGCTTATTTTGCGAAAACAAATCGAACGAGAAGTATTCGTCCGTGAATAGTTTCTATAATTCTATAGAAATACGTTTTTTTATTTGTTTTTATTTTTTTTATTAATTTAGTTTTGATTTAAGAACCGTTTCCCTGTGTATTGTACGCGACCTACGTTAGAATAATAAACGCGGAATTCCAAAACTGCCGATATTTTCGGCTCTGAATCCTATTGTCGATCGGCTACCTAAAATTGTATACGATCGCTCGTCCGTTTTGTTCGCCGATAAATAGGTTTTTGGTCAGGTAACCTACGTAGGTCGAATCTAGAGTGTTACGCGGCTAAACGGTACTATAGAATAATATTTCATGGTCGGCTCGGGGTTTTGGGGTTATGTCTGACGTGCCCCGGTCCTATAGGTTTGTTGTCGAGTTGTCCACCTGTGTATACAAAAATTTAAATCTCTCTCTCTCTCTCTCTATATGCATATAAATATATTATTATGATAAACCGTTAATAATTTATTATGTTCCTTGTTGGTGTTAATAAAATATTACGTTGTACAGCTAAAAATTGTATGTCTATAATACACAATAACATTATATTATAATTTAAGTATAAAATCTAATATTATTGTTTGTTTTTGGTTTTGTGTATTTGTTTTGTTTTTTTTTTTTTTTCTATTCGTTTTATGTTGTAGTTTATAACATTATAATATTATTAATTACGTATTGAAAAAAAAAAAAAAAATGATTTGTAGTTTATATTATTGTATTTGAAATATGTGAAATAAAAAAAAATATCACGTAAAAACCTTGATATAATGACAATTTTTTTTTCCATTCCAATAGCATTGTATATTATTTTGTGTGGTTAGTTAAAAAAAATCTTTATTTTGCAGTACATATAAACATAACATAATTTGTTCGCCGATTTAATTTTTTTATACTCTACAATATGTGTGTAGGTAATTACATGAAAATACCCTGGAAATGTTAAATAAAAAAAATGAATATTTTATACATTAATTATCATACACGACGCATTTTCACCGGAGTATATTATATTATATTTTATCTTACGAGTCTAGGTTTTTTAGAAAAATACAAAAAAAAAAAAAAAACTACAAAGGTATTTGTGGGTTTTTTTTATTTTTAACGAAATTGCCGCCGTTTGCGAGAATGATACAAAAAAAAATGTGCATCGTATCAGTTACAAAGAGGCGAGTAAACTCGTCTCGCTTCGTTCGCCTCATTATACGCGATTCATAATATTATAAGACAGTGGTTCGCGTTGTAGAATATTTAAAACGTGATAAATATACGACCGCGTTATAATTCCCAGTGTAATAAAAAGAAAAGAAAAGGAAAAAAAAACTTAGAATTCAATAGTGTGTTTCTTTTGCTCGCCGACGACGTTTTAACAAATTTTCGAGAAGCGTGCGCCGGCGGAGAATATAATAATAATAATAATAATAATAAAAACCGCCTTAAAAAGATCCCGTCTGCGTATATACACGGTCGAAATTCTGCGGTATTCCCGTGAGAATCCGCGCATATTATGCAGATGTGCATCACCGTGGTCATCGCCCCGGAAAGTGCCTTATGTACGAGCAAATAATATTATTGTAAAACTATAATGTATACGCGGTAAGTATGTACTCGGGTACCTATTAGTCCTTTGACTTCACAAAGAATATTTAATCGAAAAAACTTACCGTGACGTGTTTGCAGGTATGTGTGTGCACTCGACGCGACTTTATAAACACCTCGTATTGCAGGCAACGTAAAAAAGAACAACAATAATCTGAACAATTACATTCTAGTACAGGTGTGCTCAGTGTTTAACGGCTCTATCCGCGAAAATAACCGTTCCCGATGACGTTGAAAACAAATTCGATACGATTTAAACGTTATTTTGTTACGAAAGCAATGGTATTTAAACGCGCGGTTGAGACGTTAATTAACATTATTATAAAATAGTTTGGACATTTAAAAACAACTCTCCGACACAGCGAAACTTGTCCAAATGAAATTAATTGAACCGATTGATTCGCGCTCGTTGTCAACTAAAATAGCACAATATAATGTACCTACCCGCGCAATAACCGCAGTCTCGGAACGAGTAACGAAGTCGATTATTGTTAAAACAATCGAGTAAAATAAATCGATAAATGGGACGCATTCGTTTTACAAAGTGTCGAATTACAGAAATTTTACCCAGCGTATAATTATGAATATGTTTTCATCAGCGGGTAATACGTAGATAATAGAAGAATGAACGAACATGCGCATAATGTTAACCGGGGGCCGGATATAAATGCACATAAAATCTACAGAAAAATGTTTAAAAATGGCAAAAATCTCATAAAAAATGTTTAAAACAGCAAAAATAGAGCATCTGACGGACTTTATTCAGTAAATACAAACAATTACGTTACAAAAATAATTAATACAAAGTAACAAAGTAATTTGTTTTTAAATAAAATTTTACGTATTATAAACAAAATGACTTTTTATTAATCCTTTTTATATCGTTGGAAAACGCTTTTTAATAAATTATTGCGAGGAGGGACTATAAAAACCCTTCTACAATTGCTTTTTTGAGGACATTTTTCGTGATTTTTCGGCCATTTTTAAGCGCTAATTATAACCAACGCTAGACAATTTTTAAAACAATCCAACATATTTTTGCGCACTCGGGTCAAAATAATTTACCGCTTGATGCACCGGCTAGACAGCCATTACCTACCAACCTCTAAATTAATTAAACACTACAACGAATTTATATAATACTATATTATTCACCTTTAATTAATATAACATAACAGATTAAAATACTTTCTTTTTTTATCTGAAATTTTTTTCACCACTATCTACGCTCTTGATAATTGTATTTTTACTCAAGAAGCTTCGAAGAAAACGCCATAATTCTGTTGTCTTCCTTTTGTTCTGTTAAAAACTTGACGTTTCTTTTTAACAAAACCAACGGTGAGCTATGTCCCTATAGGATCTCAACCATACAACGGTGACACAATACATTATATAAATTAAAATGTAAGTACACATACAGATTTACTGTCTTAACAACCGTAGTTAAACGTAACTGTGATTTTAATAAGTTATACTAACGCTAATCAAACGTTCAACGTCAGCGCTGTGAAGTTTAGAAGAAGCCACTCTCGTCAACTTTATAAAAGTGTTTGGAAAATGTTTTGAGGTACATAACAGTATAAGTAGTTTGAAAGAACGGAGAAATTGCGAACATCTAAGCAAGAATTATTAGATTTTAAGATCTACTATTCTAAATTGTAGTGTTTTACAGGCAATGGATAAATAAATTTGTTGGTTACATTATATCAATAGCACGGATTGTTACGCAATGTGGTTTTTATAATATTATAATAATAATAATATAATAATATTATTAAAAAAATAAGAAAAATGATAGTAAAAATATATGCTTAAAATCATTAAACAAATTTTTAAAAATTCGTGAGCAGTAGAACTCCAGAATCTAATTTTTTCCCAGTCGAATTGTCCCAGTTATACAATTTTATTTTTTTCATATAATTGATTTTGAATAGTTGTGGGTGTTAAAGTTTAATGAAACATAAAATTTGAGTAAAATAACAGTTTTGGATGAGACATTGAAAGTTGAAACCCTCGAAAGGCATATCATCGATACCTACTTTTAATCTTTTCACCATGCATGTATAAAATGTCTTTCCCGTTATTGTTTCGTATGGGGATTAAAAATATACATTGCTAAAAAAAAAAAAAACCGACCTGCCGCAACAAAACGGTGAAATTAGTTCTGAAATGAAATCAACATTTTATAATTTCAATCAGTCTAACGTATCCAATCCTAGCGGAAAAAATATACATATAATGGACACGATGAAGTGAATTAGTTTCTGTTTTAGAGAAAAGTCAACAAAAATGATTATAATACCGACAGATATAAAATAAAATAAACACTAATCTGCAAATTAATATAATGAATAATAAATTGTTTTAAGTTTTGATTTTTTTTTTTTTTTTTTTAACTAACTTGTAAATTCAGAAAAATAATGAAATATTCATCCACGTCGAAAAAATATTTCTATAAATTGATTTGCGTGATGAGGTTCGATGTAAATATGCCACATCCGTTTTTCCACATAGTTATTCTATTATCTATAACTGGTACCAATAGGCCATGTAAGTATTCAAAACAATGCATTTTAATACAAACCCGTTTTATAACGTGAATCTAGGATCTACTCCCGGAGTTTTACTGGGTATAATATTTTTTGGATCGTTCAGTCGGTATAGTGTAAACAAGGTTCTGCACTCACAAAGTGTCGCTATAAGTAACTGTAACAAAACTAGTATGACATCAGATGTAAAAAAAAAAAACAATACACAAGTGATTCTGATATATATAAGAATCAGTGGGTATACTGAGTTAAGTTGAGTGTTGCGAAAGTTTCTTTAAAAAAATAATAATGCTAAAAGAAAAACCGCTAACAAAAACTTTTCAAATATTCTTTTCTATTTTATTATAATAATATATTGTTACGTTAGGGTCTATCGGTATATAAATGGTACAACTCTGAAACTTACACACACTCACCTGTATAGTGTTACGACTTATCTAGAGAATATTTTTTTAAATCTTTTATCTTGTTTAGATGGTATTTTTGATAACTCTCTGGAAGCTATTTAAGATAAAAAAAAAAAAAAAAAAAACTGTTTTTAATAATTATATCTAGGTAAAATATAGTTACTTATGAAACGTAAAACTACAGTTTTACATGTGTACTCTGATCGACGCCAATTCCGTATAAAAAACCATTTTAATCGTTCAAATGTTTATACACTTTCTATTATAATATAATGTTCTCGACAACAGACAAACAAAAAGAGAAATGACATTCGGGATAATGTTTGAACATTTGTTGTGTTTAACTCTATTTAGCTAATTTTAGAGCAATGTTTATCGTTTATCTAAATACATTTCATTTATATTTTGTCTCGGCACTGACACACAAACAAATCCAGTTACCGTACATATATATATAAAACGATTAAAACGCGAGCAATTTTTCCTGCCCAGAAAACCGTGTCAATCAAAATTATCATACCCACGCTATCGCATGATTATTTCCTTCAGTTCGATAATCTAAAATAACGTCTGCAGTAATACGACGAGCAAACGAGTTACTCCGGGGTTACTCTAAAAAAAAACATTAATTATTATGTTTTTGCGGTAAAAAAAATTACAACTAGAATATATATATATATAAATATATGACAGTTGGATTGTATGTTAGATATGTAATAATAGGCAATTCGTGTTGACGACCGTATATTTTCCGCCGAGACGGCGAAATGTAATGTACCCATTTAATAACACTTGTTTGTACGTATAAGAACACCGATTTTTTTCTTTTTCTTTTTCTTTAGGGTGTCGGTCACCTCGGCTCTCGGGATAATGATGGTGTATTATTATTTTCAATTTGAACGCCAATATTATCTATCTACATTATGCTACATTATACATCTAGCTATCGCTACTTAGCATTCGCTATGTCATTTTTTTTTTTTTTTACCGAGTGTTCGAAAATGATGAAATTAACG